GTGGTTCTCTGAATTTCATTGGTTGGAGTACAGTATAGAAAATGATGCGGCGTATTGTTTGCATTGCTACTTGTTCAAACCCGATAGAGGGGGTCAAGGGGGTGGACATATATTCACTAAAACCGGCTTTAGGGATTGGAAGCACAAACAGACGTTGAAAGATCATGTCGGTCTCTTTGATAGTGCTCATAATCAAGCTTTTGCAAAGTGTACCAATTTGATGAATCAAAAGCAGAGTATCTCTTATGTTATTTCAAGTCAAAGTAATAGTCAACAAAAAAGTTATAGGACGAGATTGACTGCGGTGCTAGATTGTACTAGATTCCTTTTGATGCAAGGATTGCCATTTCGTGGTCACGATGAATCCAAAGAGTCTCTTAATAGAGGAAATCTAATTGAGCTACTAGACTGGTATGCAGCTCGTTGTGAGGAAGTTAAAGAGGTATTATTCACTAATGCTCCTGGAAATGACCAAATGACTTCACCAAAGATCCAGAAGGACTTGGTTAATTGTTGTGCCGTAGAGACAACAAGGGCTATTATCAATGAGATGGGTGATTGTTTATTTTCAATTTTGGTTGACGAGGCTCGTGATAATTCTATAAAAGAACAAATGGCAGTTATTTTGAGGTTTGTTGACCAAAGTGGGGTCGTGAAGGAGCGTTTTTTGGGCATTACCCATGTCGCTGATACTTGTGCCAAATCACTTAAGGATGCCATTGATGCAATGTTTTCTACTCATGGGTTGAGCATATCTAGTCTGAGAGGTCAAGGTTATGATGGAGCAAGCAATATGTCAGGTGAGTTCAATGGTTTGAAAGCTTTAATTTTAAGAGAGAACCCACATGCTATGTATGTCCACTGCTTTGCTCACCAACTTCAGTTGGCAGTTGTTTCAATGGCACGTAGGAATAACATGCTTGGTGATTTTTTTAATATGCTTGCTATTATTGTGAATTTGGTGGGTGCATCATGTAAGCGTGTAGATGCTCTTCGAACAAGTTACCATGCCGAGATTTTGGAGAAGCTTAATATTGGGGAACTTTGTGGTGGGAGTGGTAAGTTTCAAGAAATGAGTTTGGCACGCCCAGGTGATACTAGATGGGGCTCACACCTACTGACAATTACTCGTGTTATTAATATGTTTAATGCTATCATAGATGTTCTTGAGGATATATCAGAAGATGGCGTAAATTTAGAGCAGAAATCAATGGCCGACAGACAGATGGACATTATGCAGAGCTTTGAGTTTGTGTTCAGTCTCCATTTCATGTTAGAAATTCTAACAATTACAAACAACTTTTCACAAGCTTTACAGAAGAAGGATCAGGATATTCAGAATGCTGTGGGTTTATTAAATTTGTGTAAGTATGCATTGCAGGATATGAGAGACAATGGCTGGGATAATTTGTTGAGTAGGGTGACTGAGTTTTGTGTTGTTAGACATATTTTTGTGCCCAATATGGAGGATATTGTAGTATTGAGAGGTCGGCCTAGGCGTGGAACTCAGCAGATGACTTATTATCATCGTTTTTATGTTAATTTTGTATTGTTATGTGATAGATTCAATCTTGCAAGAGTTGAATGATCGTTTTTCCGAGACAACTACTGAGCTCCTAACTTGCATTTCGTGTTTAAATCCAAGAGATTCCTTTGCAACTTTTGATAGGGATAAATTGCTACGTCTTGCTTAGTTGTATCCTTTGGACTTCAATAATGAAGAGCTTTTATTGTTTCGACTTGAACTTGATAAGTTCCTTATATATGTTAGAATTACTGAAACCTTCTTTAATCTCAATAGCATTTCTTGTGTAGCTCGGAAGTTGGTTGAAACAGGATGCTCTTGTTATTTTCAATTGGTTTATAGGCTGATTACATTGGTTTTGATATTACCTGCAGCAACTACAAGTGTTGAAAGAGCATCCTCTGCTATAAATCTAATCAAGAGTGACTTGCGCAACAAAATGGGAGACGACTGGTTGAATAACAATTTGGTGGTGTACATGGAGAAAGAGATTTTTGAAAAAATTGAGAATGAAATAATATTACAACGTTTTCAAAGCATCAGATCTCGTAAAATACAGTTGTCTAAGATCACAGTTACATAATAGGTTGTGTTGCGTAGTTCTTTAGTACTTTTAGTTGTACTGAACTACGTTTTCATATGTACATATTTTTTATGTTTTCGTGCGTTTATATGTATATATTGAATAATTTTTAATATTATATAATTAAATATTAATAAACGATCTCGCTCTTACGATCGCTGATGGTCGACGTTGACTGGTCGACGTTGACTAGCCCGGGCTGAGTTTAGAACCTGGGTCCGCCACTGTATGTACGGTATAGCGAGTTAGTTTATTCCTATAATCGGGGCATACTAAGGCCTTGTCTGGTGCAGTTGAATGTTTCCATTTTCAGCCTTTTTTTTACCGTTATCAATGGCTGGCGGATCCCACCTAACTCACATGTAGTAAATTGTTGGCCACTTTTGAAAATAACGAGCAGAGAAGTCATTTTTGGTGAACAAAAACTTACACCAAACACACGCTAAATATGTGGCACAACTTAGCCATCATCTAAAAAAGGAAAACTTAAGCAAAAAGAGTGAAAGTCCGTCGGCTGAAACGATTTGAATCGCGTTGAATAGTGCTGATGAGCTGATATGATAATTTTAGGACTCGATGATCTTTTTATTGTTTATCTTATTTTGATTTGATAACTATCATTGCAGTGTCGCACCACGACTATATATTTTAAACCAATGGACCCGCAACAAGACTAGGCCCCTCAACCAATGGACACGAGTTAGCACGAGATGCCCTTAAGAGCCATGGTTGTCGAATTGTTGACCAATCATTAGTAGGGCAGAACTTGCACAAAATGCTTTAGCAAATATATTAATTTTTTAGCCACTCGCATGCTAGAAATTGAAATAATTCTCTGGATTAATCCCAAGATTCCATTCTTATGTCGGTCCCAAAAATGCTTTGTAATTGTATTATTTGAAGATTTTTTTCAATGTTAATGCTCTTCCCTTTTGCGCTCTAAAGCAAAAAAGAAGAAAGTCATGGGTAGGCAAGCATGACGCCTTTTCCTCCCTATGCAACAAAGATGGCGTGATATGATTGCCCAAAGTCAAAAATGTACCAAGCATGAATAGTGATTGTACCTTTACATAACGTCTTGTATACTGATCTATAGTATCGAACGTGATTGAGACAAAAAAAAAAAATGAAATTAAAATATTATTCATAAATGATGTCAAGGGTAAATTCAACATTGAATAAAGGTTAAATAAATACACAATATGTAAGGGATTTGGATTATCTCATTTAATAAGGTTGATCTTTTGAGATGAAATCACAAATTTTAACATGACATCAGTGCTCAAATGAGTCATCAAGTTCCAAGATTAGTTTGCTCAAACAAGTCGTCATCTCGCGGGGCATATTAACGATAAATCTCACATCAAATAACAATAGAGCCCCAATTCTTAATATGTGCAATCTTAGCTAGTAATTTGTTTGACAGGAATAAGAAAAATTGAAGTTAAAATCTTATTGATCTTATGTGTATTGGTGCATAGTATTTCGCGCTAAATATGTCATTTTTAGATTCTATATCAAACGTTTGATTCTCTCATATTTTTTTTCTTCGAGAGTGCGTGTTTATGGTAATCCCATAATATGATGGTGAAACCATCTTTTCCAAGCATCTAAAAAAGAGTTTAAGATTGCAAGGTATATATCTTGTCATATGGAAGAATAGTGGACATTCTTTTCATTAAAAAATTGCTAGCTTGAGATTATCCTAATCAAAATGCACTTTTGTGGAGGTTAATGATTCAAAGCCATCATCTCGACAAATATTTCAAAATGATCACGATTTCGAAGCAAGATGCAAAACATCATTGTTATTTGTAAATGGAGGGCGTTCGACTAGGTATTAGTTTGAAGTTAGATTTTAAGGTAGCAATGTAAGAAACAATTAGAGTCGTTTATGTTGAATTAAGTATTAATTCAAAGTTAGATCTTAAGTTAGCGGTATACGACGTTTGAATTTTATAAATCAAAGTCGAAGGAAAATATAAAGAAAGGGAAAGAGTGCAAGTGTTTCAAAGAACCAAAAAAAAACTTATGTACAAAAAGAGAATTCAATGATTTTATACTCTATAATAAGCAAAAGCTAAATCTATTGTAACTGTGCCAGTAAAATGACAATACTGCCCTTCTAGAAATATAAGACATAACTACAAAGTTTACAACTACATATTCTAACAAGAGGCAATTAAAATCATTTCAATCGATCATTTGAAATAGCACATTCTCATATAGGTGAACTTATGGAACCCATCTTTGACTGTAAGTAATCCTCCCCAAGTCGTCCATCCGCAGCAATGATTTGTGAATTTAAGACGTGTATTCTTAGTCGTCAACAATGACTTGTGAATGTATGACTTGTATTTTTAGTGGTGAGTCAATCTCTTTGCTCCTTGTCACACCCCCATGTCAACTAAAACAAACGAAAATAATGCAGAATCGATAGCAAAATGACCTAAAACAACACACAAGTCTCCTTAACAGTTCAGAATCATTTGTAACTTTTTGTGTCATTGGTGTTTGATTACATCCCATAATCACTATTTTAATATTATCAGGAAATAATATATAAGTAAGTTTTTTTTTCACAATTTATTCAAATTTCAATTATCGGGAACTTGGTAAAATGAAACCGACCTATTTATAGGGACATGGTGAAAATAAAATATAAATGAATAGATCCCTTCAAACTCATCTTGAACTTTTAGAGGGGGCGATTAGAAGAACAATGTGCAACTTTGAGCATCTCTCTTAGCATTACAATTTGTCCGTAACTGGACCTGTTTTTCTTCGAGATACTCATGATTTTCACTTATATCGAGGGAATGTTCGGCAGAATCTCAATCTTAAAGACAAGAAGAAAGAAAGAAAAATATATATAGAAATTAAAGAAAAAAATCAGCTTCCAGCCTCCGAAATGCTCTGTAATGCAGGTTGCCAAATTCTGGATTTTGCAGCAGCACCAGAATTTGTTGCTGTGTTATGTCTTGACCTATGTCTTTCCTGCTTCACCTGAAATTTGTCGAAAATTCAGGTACATAATTAATTCGATTGTGCTATACGTATATAACAACTTATATAATAATTCACCAACATATATGTGGAGAAATTTAATTAGATCAAAATTAATCAAATAACTTTCCTACTTACATTTTGACACCTTGTGATTAAGTAAATTTCTGTAATTTCTATCCAAAATATAAATTTCTGTAATTTCACAATATATGGACTTGGATGAGGATCAAGATTTCTAAATTTTTAGTCTAAGTTTGTAAAAGAAACTACAGTAAATCAATTTTTATTTTCAACCACACATTTTTCAATAAAATAATATTTTCCATCACATCAATACCTTTTTCTTTTTTTTTTCAACCACACATTTCCCATCATATCACTATTCAAAAATCAATTCTTCCCCTCAAAATCCCCACCAAACACAGTCTAAATATCTTGATAAATTTAGAGTCTAACTATATTTTCATAAATAATTGGATTGAAAAAAATATATATAGAAAAATGTTTACCTGCTTGATTTTCTCCATATCAGATTTCCTATTTGCTGCACCAAAATCTGAAGTCTCTCTCTCTATAATCCTCTCATCTAGTTCTGGCTGTTGCTTCTTCATTTTTTCATGCTTTTTAGCCAACAATCCTTTCATCACCTCTGTAAAAACGACACCCCACACAAAAAAATAAAAATAAAAATCAATAATCCCATAAAAATAAATAAGTTTTCTTTAATAATTTAGACATAAAAAAAAAAAACCAACCTTGCGTAGTGACAAGTCTATAAACATGGCCAAGAGCAAGGTTGTCTGTTGGCCTAAGAAGTTTTATACGCGTAATCCGAACCGGGAAGTTGTTATTGTCTGCTGAACTTCTGTTCTTTGCGGAGGCGGCGGCGGTGGTGGAGGCGGCGGCGGTGGTGGCCGAGGAGGAGTATAAAGTGGTGGTGAGGAGAAGAGCAACATAATGACCAGGGTTCATTTTCATGATTTCTTTAGCAGAAACTGGGCAATAGAGTTTGTCCACTCTTCCATTTGGGTGTTGAATTACTAGAGAAGCATTATCAATGGCTTGGCAATTTCCCATCTCTCTCTAAATTCAATCAGTTTCTCTCTCTAGATTTAATGAGATTTTGAGATAAAATTTGAGAAGGGAGTATTGGTATTATAGCAGTTTCACTTTATAGCCACACCTTCAGCCTTTATTCTGGGGCATATGAGGATGACCTCAATTCTATATATATCTCTCGCCCCTAGAAAGAGATAAACATCTATCATAATTATTCTTCGTTACAACTGCATGGAAAAATAAATTAAAAAAATAAAAATAAAAAGTGAACTTGCAATAATTACGCAAGATAGAATTCAATCTTAAAATCGATCGACAAATTAGACTTCAACTTAGTAAAGTGGGAAACAATTAGAATTGTAATGTTCACAACGGTCCATATATTCAATTATGTGACTTTTCGAAGTTAACTCTCATCGGGTCATCCTCTCCGTAACGAGTCATCTCCGAAAGAAGGGGTTGCTCGATTATAGGCAATTTAGCTTGGAGATGTGTGACATAATTAAGTCAATCCATTTACCTTTCTAGAGAAGATGTTCACAATGATCCATTTTTTCAGTTATGTGACTTCGCTGAACCAGTTCTCCACTTAAAGTAACCCTCACCATCTTGCTTCGTTCACAATGAGGATCGTCTTCATAAGGACAGGGTACTCAATTGATTTTAAACCCACAAAATTACGCTTTAACTTACCAACATGGGATTAAATTCTAACTTTTTTTCAAAATCGAAGTCTATAAATGGAGACCCATATGTTTAGTTTGATGACTCCATGGAACAAGTTTTTATCGAAGGTAGCCCTCCTTGGCTCACCTTGTCCACAATGAATGTCATCCTCAAAAGGGTATCTACTTTTTTAATTACCAATTGTAAATTCACATGAGACAAAACTCGTTTTTCATACCCACTTATTTTAAAAAATGATGTCAAATTAATTATAAGCCGACTATCTAAACCTTTGCTTAACAATGTATCCAATTTGATCTATTTCCATATACGACATATCTTTTCTGAATATACTGTGACATTCATCATAGCATACAAGGGAATATTGATCTTTTACTGTGGAATGGTGATAATTTTGAGGGCACAAGGAGGACAGAGAATGTCGGGCCGACCTGAAATTTACCTCGTAATCACAAATACTCGCTTTTTCTTAATAATAAGTATAATTTTTACTTATTTGTACAATTCATGTTGACAATCATCGTTGACAATTTTGGTATTGTCAAAATTCGGACCATTGATTTAAAAATAATTTTTAAAATGGATGAACGCGTTACTTTCAAGTATGAAGTTGTCAACCAGGATGGTACAAGTAAAAAAAAAAGTTAATTTATATTCCTGGTGATACGTTACAAACTTTGACAACCAGCTGTTGGGCAATACTGGTTTGAGATGGTGTCAAATCAAGAATTGCCATGTGTACGTAATTATTCATTATATTCTTTCCATAAAACGACGTTACATGCCAACGTAATGCGTTCTTAGGTAGCATTATTATTTTGTACTAATCTCAAAAATTGATAAATCACGCTCCAATTACTTGCTACCTACCTCAAACTCTTATTTTATTTCTTTTCATTTTTATTGATTTATTGTATTTTTATTTTCTTGAAAATAATTTTTACAAGATTGAAGTTTTCTCTATCTGAAATTATTATTTTTTTAATATCGTAATATATGTATTACTTATAAGAGGTGAAAATGTGACTCGAATTTTTCTAAATTGTTTAGGAAGAAAATTTGAAATATTGATTGTAGAATAATGAAGTTTATCAAATAAATCGTTTTCATAAATTGTAGAGGGGAAAATAAATCGAGAATCGACATGAAACCAATTCGCTAGTAAGTAAAAATAAAACGAGAAAATGAAAATCGTAAAACGACGAGTTTATCTTTTTTCAATACTTTCATAACACCAAATCTTTTTTAAAATGATTTGAGCTTGATTCGATGTTTTGACCTTTGACCATTTATCTTTATCAGTTTGACGTCCAATCCTATTTTTAAATCATTAACAAAAGTAGTAAATTTAATTTTCGAATGACATAATTGAATAAAATTCCGAACAAATAAATATCCTAAATTTTACTTTTACCACCATTTTAACAATTCATTATAGGGATGGACACCGTTCGATTCAGACAACTTTTGAATTATTTTTAAATAAAACCATTTTCGTCGGTTCGAAAATATCATGATGGTGTATGGTGCACGAGTTTTGACATGAGCGTGGGTCTGCACCCATAGGGGAGTGACAGAGACGTTTCTCATGCTCACCAAACCACAGCCGTGAAATTCCGTGGGAAGATAACATAGTAAAAATCAACAGTCCTACCCCCACTACCTCCTTTTAACCCAACGTCAGTCTTCGAGTATTGAGGATAAAATTTCGTGAAATTTTAAATTTATGTGTCTGAATATAAATATTAAATATAAAGATAAAATATGGGTTTAACTTGCTTAAATTAAAACTTATATGAAACATGAACGGTTACAACTCAAGTTAAAATTTTTCTTTTATTTACTTACGCAATTTTTTTACCACCAGCTCGATCTCGGTTCGAACTTCCTATCACCGTTATTGAATTGCAATAATATCGCTTTTAAGTTACTTAAATTATAGTCTTTGAACATCATAAAATATTTAGTCCGTCACCTGACACCAATTAATTTTTACACGGGATGATTAAATTTCGATTCTATAATATAAATTTTTGTGAGTCAACATGACAGCATCCAAACCTCGGCACGCACAAAGAGCATGATAGACAAGCAGAATAAGTGGTTGTCGCGTGTGAAGGGTCGGCATAAGCTAATCACTACAGGAAAAAGAGCAGTTATTTTTTGTCCTATTTTCTGCTTTTACGAACATTCCTGCAATTTTCTGGATTACAAATCCATTTTTTTACTAACATCCCATCTTATTTCTCTGGCTTCACTCTCATTTTGTTTCCCATTATTTGGAACCACCATCAATTTTTTTATTGACTTCCTAGATTACGAAAATCAAACATTAATTATTATTAAATTATAATGTTGAGCATCATCGTTCTTTAATTATGATTTAACCACTTTCTTTTATTTTCATGCTTATTTTTCTTATTTAATAATGCACAATGTCTTCAATCCGTCGTGGAGTACATTAATGCGTTCTTAGCTTCTGTTAAAGGTGTAAAATAGATTAGGCCAGGTTCGTGCACAAAGACACAATCCACATTCCTAGCCGGCCACTAGCTCTGGCAAAAATTTCCATTTTTGTATTAGTTTTCGTGAAAAACAAAAATGATGTAAGAGTCGTGCATCTAAAGAGCCAAGTCCAGCACAATTCATATTTCGAGTCTAGTTGCTTCATTTTCAGAGAGAGAAAGGAATGTGGGAAAGGAAAAGCAAAGGAAGATAAAAATTTAAAGAAGTTACAATACATGGTGGAATAAAGACTGGACTAGACTAGCTTTTATAATTTGTGGAACCTTTTGTTCGTAATAATTTGATGTAAAATACCATTCCAAATTTAATTTTTGTCACAATAATTGAATTATTAATCTTAATGATTTTACATAGTGGAATACTGGGATTTCAAATCACAATGAAGATTTCTTTGACCAATTTGAATTTTTCAATCTTCGATATTCATATTTATGACCCAAAAATTTACCAATTGCTAAAATCCGATGTAAAATGGATTGAGTCAGGTACCCCGACAAAGGCACAATCTGCATTATTTGGTATCCTACAACGTTTTTCATTTTTCGATTAGTTCTATATGCACAAATCGTATACTCAAATAGTTTAGCTTAGCATGAGTTGAGTATTGAGAATTTACTTAACATGCAAGGTGGAAAATAAATTATTTTTTAATTTTCACCACAGATCTGTTTTGTGTTTAGATAGAAACTGTGTTTAAAATAATACATTTAATGAGTTTTGCAAACTCATTTGCTGATGCAAGAACACGAATAATCACGATCTGCAATCCACAAATGTCAAATTATCCAACTTCCAATAAAAATCCACCACAGGAAACAAGAATGAAAGAATTAAGATTTCTCTTTTCTCGTACTAGCTAAATATGAATTATGTTCTGTTCTTCTAAAACCCTAATAGCTTATTAATATAAGTCCAATGGGCTTGACCTGTCTCATAAACTTAACTCGATCTAATATTTAATTAATCAAAATAATTAAAGCGCTTCTTACACAAATTCCCTGTATTTTGGGGCAGTTTTGAAAAATCATGATAAACTTGGATTAAGTGATAATTAAGGAAATTTTGGCATATTTTATACGCTTAAATAGAAAAGATTCCTGCATGAACGTAAACAAGCCTCCTAATTGGAAAAAATGGAAAATTAGAAGGAGAAAGAGGAAATCATTCACAAATTTGTTCATTATTCGAAGTTCTAGAAGAAGATCAAGGTTATTTCATTATTGAAAGTTTTGGAAAAAATTGAGATTGTCAATTTCAGTTTTTTTTTTTTTTTTTT